AATAATAAAAACTAGTGGTGTATGGCATCGTGCCTTAAGGCAAATTGCTGGAACTTCCCGTACCGTAATAAAATTTCGAGAAATTTTAAACGTTTTCAAATATATTATTACAAATATTGTAACTTTCATTGTTTTTGCTATCTTGTTTGTTATATCTGAGCAAATCAAATGTAAATCATAAATCAATTTACCTCCAAAACGTTAACAATCGTCATTTCAAAAAAAAAATAGTTGCCTAATTTACACTTTTACATTTCTAAATTAAACTACTACATTAATACTATATCTCTTGTAACTTTTAAACGGCATGTCTAATTTATATATAATATCTGGCAAATATGTACAAAACTAAATTATATATAATGTTGCCCAATATTATAAGACCCTAAAGCAACTCAGTATACTTTAAAATTGCAATTGAAAGTTTGTATCTAAATTTATTAGCTCTAAGTGCGTTCATCAGTGCATTTATTTATTTCAACCCTTGCAACTTTTAAACATATAATATAAATAAAACATTTGACAAATTTGTGTAAAATTAATCAAAATTTAACACTTGTTAACTTCCCGTAGGGTAAGTTATTGTAATGGGCCGAAAATCGGAATTGAAAATTTTTACATTTTTCGACGTTTTGAAGGTTTCTGAACATTTTGGCATACCTCAGAAAAAATGGATGTGTGTGTGTGTGTGTGTGTATGTATGTGGATACAAATTTCCAGTCACGTTTTTGGGCGCACGGATCAACCGATTTGAATGGTTCAAAAAACATTCGATTCCTATTGATAGGGAAAGAGCTGATTAGTTTTTGGCAAAGGCAGGTCCAGCCGTTTCGGAGATACGGAGCAAAGAGTGCGGAAAATAGAAATCGACTTTTTGAGAGAACGGAGTATCCGATTTGAATGATCTAAAAAACATTCAATTAGTAATGATTGGGAGAAGTGTTTATTAGTTTTTGGCAAAGGCAGACCCAGCCATTTCGAAGATACGGAGCTAAATATGTAAAAAATGGCAGTTTTTGAGAGAACTAAGCGTCCGATTTGAATGATTCAAAAAACTTTCTGCTTGTCTTAACAAAATAATTGATTTGGAAAAAAAAATTTTTGTTCCATTTTTTTTTTTTTTTTTTTTTAGTTTTTTTTGTTGACACAAATAATTTCAACTTTGCAATTCAGTTTATATAATTCTTATAAATATTAGACAATGTTACAATATTTATAATAATCTATTTGAAAACATTCAGTATTCCTCGAACATTTCGTTACGGTACGGGAAGTTCCAGCAATTTGCCTTAAGGCACGATGCCACCCACCCCACTAGTTAATATTATAATGACCTAGAGCATCTCGGTATACTCTAAAAGAGCATTTGAAAACTGTGTTAGTGCTGCTAATTTAATCGTGACTAACGTGTATTATATATCTTGTAACTTTTAAACAGTACGTCTAAAATTAGTCAAATATTCGGAAAATTCATGCAAAATTAAATTATCTATAATGTTGTCTAATAACATATAACCCTACAGCAACTGGGTATATTTTAAATTGGCAAACGAGTAAATAATTTTTTTGTGGGCGTCGTTTATATTGAAGCTGCTGCAATTGTGAAGTATGCAATTAATTTTTATGCATTTATTTATTATATCTCTTGAAACTTTTAAATGGTACTTGCAATGTACATCAAATATGTTGCAAATTTGTTTAGAATTAAATATACAATATTTTCTAATACCACAGAAACCTACAACAAATCGGTATACTTAAAAATCATCATTGAAAATAGATAAGTAACACGAGTACGTATCGTCATGCATTTGTTTATTGCATCTTTTTGTAATTTTTAAAATAATCACATGAAATGAATAGAATATTTTGCAAATTTGTGCAAATTAAATAATCTAAAATATTTTCTAATATCACAAGAACCTACAGCAACTCGGTATACTTAAAAATCGAAAATAGATAGAAAATAAAAAATTGAAACTAGATAAGTTACTCCGGCACGTATGATCATACATTTATTTAAGCATCTCTTGTAACTTTAAAATAATCGCTTAATATTAATCAAATATTCTGCAAATTTGTACAAAATTGAATAAAAAATAATATTTCTAATATCACAAAAACCTACAACAACTCGATATACTTAAAAATCATGATTGAAAGTAGATAAGTATGGCCATGCATTTGTTTATTATATCTCTTGTAACTTTTAAAATAATCGCTTAATATTAATCAAATATTCTGCAAATTTGTACAAAATTGAATAAAAAATAATATTTTCTAATATCACAAGAACCTACAACAACTCGGTATACTTAAAAATTGTCTTTGAATGTAGATAAGTAACTCGAGTACGTAGAAAAATCATCATTGAAAATAGACTAGTTGTAACTCGAGTACGTATGATCATGCATTTGTTTATTATATCTCTTGTAACTTTTAAAATAATCACTTTATATTAATCAAATATTCTACAAATTTGTACAAAATTGACTAAGAAATAATATTGTCTAATATTACAAGAACCTACAGCAACTCGGTATACTTAAAAATTGTCTTTGAATGTAGATAAGTAACTCGAGTACGTAGAAAAATCGTCATTGAAAATAGACTAGTTGTAACTCGAGTACGTATGATCATGCATTTGTTTATTATATCTCTTGTAACTTTTAAAATAATCACTTTATATTAATCAAATATTCTACAAATTTGTACAAAATTGACTAAGAAATAATATTGTCTAATATTACAAGAACCTACAGCAACTCGGTATACTTAAAAATTGTCTTTGAATGTAGATAAGTAACTCGAGTACGTAGAAAAATCGTCATTGAAAATAGACTAGTAGTAACTCGAGTACGTATGGTCATGCATTTGTTTATTATATCTCTTGTAACATTCAAAATAAGAATTTAATGTTAATGAAATATTCTGCAAATTTGT